AAACTAAAAAAAGATAACATAATATACATATATATAAGAACGGTTGATAGTTTTTTATGCAAACAATTTCCTTATTTATAATTCTTTGGTCAAGATTGACAAGAGTCTTTATAATAAACTGAACACAAACAAGACTTTTTATTATAAAAACTGAATACAGACTTTTCATCCATTCATAACATAACGTTAATAATGTAAATACAAATAATTAATTATTACAAATTTCTCATTTCAAATAATTTCTTAAGTAGCCATTTCCTATTTCATTCAAATTTAATATAATTGAAATGAAAAAATATATAATTAATTGATAAATCAAATATAATATACTGTAAATTATCGTAGGCTTTTATTTATTATTTAAATTTATTATTTTTTATGTATATATAATTTGTGCAGAAAGTTAATAAAGTTAAAATAATGTACTAAGCGACATTATATTTAACGTTATATCATATATAAAGAACTATTTATATGGTATTTTAATTGCGGGTTAATAAAAAATATTATTTTATCAATTTAGTTTAGTAAACACAACAAAATAACAGTAGTGAGACAATTTTTTTCTGTTATTAAATGACACGAATAACCTATTTAAAATAAAATTTATATTTAAAAACTGAGAGCAAAATTCAATATTCATTATTTATAGAATAAAATTTATTATTTTATCATTTTATTATTAGTTATTACAGGTGAAGAAATTTTTCAATATTTAAAATAACAAATAATATTAATACTATTAATTCTTTTCGGCATTATTATTTACTAGCGAATTCCCATGCCATTATTACATCTTTTTCAGAACTCGATTCACTAAACTCGCATACATGCTTGCATGAAAGGATGCCTATTTGTTTTGAATCTTTGTCAATAACAACAGCACCAATAATTCCAGATGTTCTTTGAAATTTTATTACTCCTATATTTGATCCCAACAGAACATTCTCCTGATAATCTCGACATCTACTTTTACAAAAACCATAGGGAGTTATATCACTAGCCTTGACAACATCTACTGAATACTCACAAATCTCTTTTAGAAATAAGTCATTCTCGATGTAGAATCTATTTTTGGTAAACATATAATATAATAGAAGGTTTATCTGTATATTTATTTTTAATTTGCTTTTATACCACCAACTAGATTATAATGCACTTTACAGAATGGTAATCCAGTTTATTATCTAAGGCTTTATCAAAAACCTTTTGTAAATTTTGTAAAACATTTTTTCAGGTTGGCAGGATCAAGGGAACTTTACAGTTGAATCCCAACATTGAGAAACCCTTTTCTTTTTGGTATGAAATGAATTAATTGACCTGTGGTTTCTTCTTCCCATTCACGTAGACTAAAATCGTGAGTAACCATGTAAATATTTCATGTTGTTTCATCTAAAATATGCTCACAACGTCATCCTTCACGTATAGCTTACAGAGGAGATTCTCAAGATCTTTATTTCAGGGAATTGTTTCGATTATATTTGGAGGTTCCTCGAGTTTTCCTTCGGAGGTTGCACTATCACTAATTTCTATTTGAATGTAATACATAACTATTTTGACAAAAAATAATAAGTGATGAGAAGATTACCTTCACTCTCAGGATTATTGTTACTCGTGTTATCTCATTCGTAGATTAAATCTCCAACTTCCTCACAAGTCATATCGTTAATTTTTATGTTGCGAAAATCAAAGGGGTTAGGTTTTAATCCCTTGGGTACTCGTATAAATTCTATAAATAAACTATACTTTTCATTTTTTGTGCAAAGAAGACCTTCACATAATGTTACCTTAAGATTACAATTTTTATCTACGTATTTTACTGTTCCCTCTTCTTTCAAAAGTTTCCACTTACATACAAGATCAAATTTAACAGGAGGTATAGGTGGCCTGACAATAATGTGAATATATTTACAAAGTGATTTGTCAGTAAAGTAATCACTAATCGTCCCATTTTGATAAGTTGATTGTCATGGAGTTCAAGTTTCTCATCACTTTCTATGCGAATTTGAACCTTACATAATATGCATTGAAATCATGAAATGGTAATCTTTTCTCAATAACTTCCTTGAGTTGATGAATGGTCTTATTTCTGTTTATTTCAATAGGAAATGCTTTATTATTTTTGCTTTCTTGAATAAGACAGTTTAATGTAATTATGTTCATTTGTTGAATGATCAAAAAAAAAATGTCAGAATTTATTGCAAAATTCATCTTCCTAAAAGATTACATAATTTTAGATTTAATAGCAGATGCCATAAACAAATAATTATTTGACATGCATCATGAGTTACTGTATGATTTTAGAAGATGACAAATAAATGAATTACGATATGATAAAAAATAAACATTTAGATTGAGATCAAAAAGAAACTGATATTGATTATAGATAATTATACTGATTATAGATAAATTACATATTATATTTCATCAAGAAATTTTTAAGGACGGATAACTCCGTAAGTTTTCGGGATGTAAAATTTCCGTAAATTTTTGTATAAATTTCCGTAAATTTTCATAAACCTTTGAAATTTTTTGATGTAAAATTTTGTGAAAATTTTTGTAGAAATTTTCAAAATTTTTTTACATCAAAAGATTTCGTTAATTTTTACGGAATATTACGAAAAGTTTTTCGTAAATTTTTGAAATTTTTATTACACAAAATATCACGAAAAATGTAATATTCTGTTTAATAGACTAAATATGTAACACAAAATGATTTTGTTTATTTACCTAAATAATCTTGTTTATCTTGTTTCGAATTTTTTCAAAAACTATTTATAAAATTTTAAAAGACAAAAATTTTTCAGAAATTTTTAAAACTTGTTTATTTTTCAAGTAAGTGTGTTGGTTTTGGTCATTCGAAACTTCAACAAATTTCTTGAGTCCCTTTGGTTGTGTTAAATTATAGATTAGAGTAAAGTCCCTTTTCTTGAACAATGCAATTCTTATATTGTGATGCTTTACCTTTTCTGTTGTGTTCCTATATAATAGGTATTTGTTCAGTAAGTTATATTCATAACTTTACTGTGTCTTTACCTTTTTTATAGTTTTCAGAGTAATAGAGTAGTCACTCAGCAGGTTATTTATAACCTTGCTATCTAGAAGTTGAATATTCTCAGACACTAATATACTTATTTAGAAAACAGTAACAAAAATTGAATCAGTTTATTCAATACTGTTTCTAACATCCTTTTTCTTTATTTTTTCTTAGTTTCGATAATAACAAATTTTCAGAATTTTTCAAAGATTTTTGAATTATTTTTATGAATTTTATTTTTTTTCAAATATTTATAATTTCAAATTATTAGATTAGTATTTAGTTTTTTCAAATACTATTAAATTAATTGTTATTTTTTACAATATTTCATCAAATCTTTATTATATAAAAAAATATATGTAAAAAAATTTAATAATATAATAAAATATATATAAATCGAATTTTTGAAAATTTTTTTATATTCTGTATTACACATGCCCCCAAAATTAAAAATCCAAAACCCGACCCCGGTTAATTTAAAATGACCCCGAAATTAAATTCCGAAATTCAAAATT